ATAATTACAATATCCATAATTTATTTTCTTTTAAAAAAATATTTAATAGATAACTTACGCTATTTTGTCTTTCTTGTCTGCCTATTCCCCTGGTTAGACAAAAAAAAATATCATAAGTATAAAAATGGGCAAACCATAGCCCAGAGAAGTAAACAAAACTTCTCCAAGAAAATCAATAGCAAAAATAGGAATAGAACTTAAATGTCATATTTCACCTTTAAGTGAACATTATATAAAATGTCATCTCCTCCTCCAGAACAAAAACAAACCGATAAAAACTGCAAATAGACAGTAATATATCTAATGGTTATTGACTGACTTGTATCTGCCTGGTACTGTGGTACACAAGCTCATTTAATCCACACAAGACACTTATAATGTTCATGTTTTAGTCTCTCTGTGCAGAAGAGGAAATGCAATTTATAGCAGCTTAGACACCTGTCAAAATTCACACAGCTACTACCTGGCAAGATGGGATTTAATCTCAGTTCCTTCTAACATCAAGTCCAACCTGTAGGCCTCCCCACCATACAGCATCATATTATCCCATCTTGAGGTGCTGTATAAGAATCTCAACAAGATAAAATTGTGGGGTGATTCAGGGACATTGCTGCTCGGTGACTTCTGCATAGAGACTAATTGTCCTCCATTTAAGCTCTAGGTGAGTGACTCCACCAGTCCTCCAACTGCCCCCAAACAATAAAGGATTTCAACCTCTTCACCTCCCTCTTCATCAGCCTTCTTTTTCTACATGCAATCAATTACAAATTCTATCAACTTGAATTCTTTAGAATTTCCCATATGTTCACATGTCTCCTTTGCTGCCATCCTAACTCAGACCACTGTCGCTTCCCTCCTGTTCTGTGGCAAAAGTCTAATTTCTCTCCCAATACTTCATTTCACTGCTTCCCAGCATTCTCCACAAGCAGCCAGAATGATTGATCTTTCTAAAATACATGTATATGTTTGTTTACATTGAAACATGCTTGCCTATGGTATACCATCTATATTTTAAATGATCTCAAAGTCCTTGAGATCTAGTTCCTATATTCTCTTAAATACATTGGAAACTCTAATCATGTTGAAATATATACAAAGCCACAAAAATACAGCGCTCTCACACCTGGATCTCTGCCCACACAATTCCCTGTGCTTGGGACACTCGACTTCTTCTTCACTCACCTATCCTTCAAATCCTTAGTTCAGATATTTCTTCTTCTAGGTAGACTTCATCGGTTATCCATAATTGAGTGAGCTAGCCACTCAGAGTTATTTGCAAGAATATACTATAACTATCAATTCACTATTTTCCACAATATGCGGGGAGCAATTTAAGGAATATCCAGGTCTCATTCTACTTCATAATCTTGTACCCACAGTACCAGGTAGATAGTAGGTGTCAAAGAATATTTGTGAAATGCAGGAAGATAGAAACAAATGGAGAAAGGAAGGGGGAAATAAACCAATAAAGGAGAAAGGGGAAGAAAAAGAAAAAAAAAGTAGAGGAAGAGCATACATAAGGGACTTTAAGAAAAGGAGGGGGGTGATAGAGGGAAGAAGAAGAAAAAGAGGGAAGAAGGGAAAGAAGAAGGAAGGGAGAAAGAAAAAAGGAAAGGAGAGAGAGGGAGTAGGAGAAAGAAAAGAAGAGCCTATGAAGTTAGAGAAAAATGGAGAATATTCACTCTAAACTACTAGTGGAAATTTCTAGGGAGGCTCTAAATGCCATCAGACATTGGGTGACTGGCCATCTCTCTGGGATTGCAGACATAGTCATAACCAAGGAGTCCTGGTGTTAAAGAAAGTGAAGACTGAAAAGGCCCTTAAAATGACTGAGTTCAACTTCATCTTATGATTCAGCCAAAGAAAGGAGGTGTGGGTTGCTCAATCAGTAGAAAACAAATAAGATACAAGCACAGACTGGAATAATCTCAAAATCCAAATTCTCTTCACCACAACTATCTTCCCAGAGACAAATGAGTTAGTAAAGACAGGAGCAGTATGGTAGCTTAGGGTGGTTGGTCCTCGATTTGGGGCTATGCCTCTGTGTGCTATTTCTTTCCCCTGATGTTTTACTTAATGCAAAGAACTTCACTCTTCAAGGCAGGTAGAAGTAAGGCGAAAGGACCCTGTGTGATATTCTGAGGTTCTTTCTGCTTGTGCTCCCTGTTACTAATCTTGATCCTCTAATGAGCCCTGAGTTTCTGCTCATGCTTCCCTTGTCATGTGTCTTCTTGTCTGGAAGGCCCCCACTGCCATTTTCACCTTTTGAAATCCTTTGTATCTTTTTGAAGCTTTGTGCAGATGCTTTTCCTCTCCAAGGCCTGCACCAGTGACAGGAAATAATCACTCCATCTTCTCTGCACCATTGGCATCTTGTTCATTTCTTTCTCCAATATGAATTGGCCTATGTCTTTTGGTATAGACTTATGTGCATATTTTTTCCTCACTAGATGTACACTCTTGTCAGCCTGACTCATTTTTGCTTTATCCTTATCTCCCCTAGTAGATACTAGCATAGTACCTTTTATATGGAATATATGTCATGGTTTTTTAATGTTGAATTGAGCTATGGATACCATTTTCCAACTCTGAAGCCTATATCGTCCTAAAAGATTAACAACGCTAGAAATTCATAACACTCCTTTAAAAAAAATTTCTATGAGCATGCTTTTATTTAAAGCACCTTTGTGGTGCCAACTTTTGTTCAACAGTTGTTTAAAGCGAGTTGTTAATATGGACTAATGGTAATACATATATATGAGGAAGGAAGCAAGACAAGCAGCATAATTGAGTCAGTGAGTGTCACAACCTTCAAATTTATGGATAATAGTATGATTCCATATGTTGGCCCATAGAAGGAGCAATTATTAAGAAAGATTCATGTCCCTTTAAAAAACTGGCAAATAAAGAGATTGTTGGAAGAGAAGGAGCCTCATCTGTTACAGATTCTTTCTTTAAATGTGGAGGCTTCTTGGGAATATTTATAGCAATATATTTCAAGTATTGGAAATGAGGAAGAAGCTAAGAAATACTCACTAGAGCTTGCCCAAGGTTAGCAAGGATTTACTCGAGGTGAATAACCTAGACTACTCATTCCATTCATTTTAGCTAGAAGTGTTCTTGCCCAGAGCAGATGGCAAATTGGTTGGAGGTAGTAAAATAAAAGCAAGAAGGCACTTTAAGTGCCAGGACTCCCAATCTCTCCAGCAAGGCTTGACCCTTTCGAAACTCCCATTTCTTATCAAGTGAAGTTAGCAGTTCCATTAGCTTAAGCAGACGGATTTTCAAATTGTTTTGGAAAATATTTTAACAATGCTTTTAGATGAAATGTTGTATATTTTTAAAAACATAACTTTAAGTCTGCTCAAGTCCAATATATTACTGTGTTATTCACCTACTCCTGACAGTCCAGATTCTGGTAAGCTAATGGCCGCAGATGTTTTTATCTGCATTTCCCCTGAGCATTGTTCAAAGGGCATTGTCTTCATTCACTGCTTATTTGCATGACCAGATAAAATGCACCAGGTATAGTGGACATTCTTTACAGTAGTTCTATTAAATTTTTCAAAAATATAACTTTTGGCACTAAAGAAGTTTTTATAACTCCATTGGTTCTGAAATGCCATGTAGAAGTCTAAGAAAAATTAAAAGCAAGAAAAAAAAAATAAATGGCAGAAATAATACACAGCAAAATAGAAAGATTATTACCCTTCATTTCTAACTTCCATTTGAGAGTGGAATAAATAAAATTAGGGGGAAAAGCTACCATTGCCCTCAGGTATCTTTCCTAAACTTCATAGAGGTGATATTACAGCATTTGTTAAATTGTTTCTTTCAGATGTACATACAAGAACATATTGGGTTGCTATATAGTCTTTATTGGAGGTCCTGATATGTTGTTTCTTTTTCTTACCTACACTTTTTGAACCTTACTAATGAATAGTAGCTGATTTTGATATTTACTCAGTTCCATCTCTCTCACATTCCGATAGCCATAGGAAATGCTTTTAAACTCCAAAATTACTTCTTTCTGAGCTTCTCCAGTGAGAAAGATAAAATCTTCAAATGTCAACTACTCACTCATTCTTGCATAACAGTTGGTTCCAGAGAGCAACTCATTTTTAAGAAAGGGTTTCTTAAATCTGTGTCTACTCCCTGTACCTTGGGACACACTGGAAGATGTGCTTTCCCACAGAATGTTTTCTCCTACTTGGAAACTTCTTAAAATAACATTTTTCTATAGCATACTGATTGAATAGATTTTATATGTCTTGAGTTTCATTACTCAATTTCTTAGACTACCATTCTTTAAGAAAGTCTATCATGCTACTCTTAATGCTGTCATTAAGATTAGCAAATTTATGTTTAAGAAACTGTTGGGGGGTAGTTAGGGGTGGGGGGATTGAGAAAAGACAAGAAAAATTCATGGACACCAACAACAGTGTGGGGATTGCCAAGGAGAGGAGGGTGGAGGGAGGTAAAGAAAGGTACAGGGGGGATAAAAGGAAAAAGAAGGATACTTGACTGGGGGTGGTGAGCATGCAATACAGTATACAGACGATGTATTATAGAATTGTACACCTGAAAGCTGTATAATTTTGTTAACCAGTGTCACTCTAATAAATTCAATAAAAAGGAGAAAAAGAAAGAAAGGTGCTATTGGAATGTTATTTAAATTGGTGTATACAGCAATGGAAGAGGTGAATTTCTGGAGGGCTGAGTGATAGAGGTTATATTATTACCCTTTTATAAATTTATCCTTAGAAAAAAGAAATTATTCAGTTACTTCATCTGCAAAATGGAATACAACAATACTTACATCATAGATTAACTGCAAGGATCCAATGAGTTGAAATGTGAAGACTCAGTAAGTAGTAAATAAAGAGTTGATCCGTCCATGTTGGCAATTATCATCAATCCCAGTGAACACAGTGAGGCAGTGAGACTTTGAGAAAATGTGGAAGGGCTTGAGTGAGAAAAAGAAGTTGCTGACTTCTTACCTCCAGGGAATCATCGGCATTCACCATCCAACAGTCTGTCCAGGTGGCTACAACCAAGAAGCCAGTAGAGAACAGGGCAAAGAAGCAGGCCACGTACTGAAGAAGATCCCTCATCTTAGCGAGCAGCCGGACTGGAAGGGATGCATGGGAAGCTGCCAGCCCTTGACTACTCAGGTAGCTGGAATGCTGTCAATCTCCCGTGCTCCCGGTACCTGGGGGTGTAAAAATACTGGTCTTTTCCTCTTTCTCACACCCCACTGCAGGTGTCTTGAGTTGCAGTAAGAGTTAAAGAAACAGGCTGTAACCCACAGAGGGGTCCTGGAGGTCATTATCCGAAACAACCAGCCTCCAATCAGAAGCCAGGCCAGTGAAAGGGCCGGGTATGTTCTCTGTGCAGGAGCAAAGGAGCCCTGGTTATGTTTTCCGCCCAGGCTGTGAGATGATGGTTGATGGTTACCACGGTATTTTCAGCACCAAGATGGAGAGAAGGAAGAAGGGTCATACGCCTGTAAACTGATCTTTCTCAGGCCCTCCAGGGAAAGTGAGCTATTCTGCCCCCCTCCCTAAGGAGGCTACACGGTTGACTGAGTGCTATTTTATTATAGGACTATTTTAATATTCGCCGACTACCTTAGACAGACAGGCCACGGGTGAAACTATGCCAAACAAGTGCTTGCTCAAGGGAGTTTGCATTCCAAAGTATTGGTCAGAACAGCCCCATGAAGGGTTTTCAGCATCTGGGCCCCAGGTAGAGCCACCGCTCCTAACCTTTCCTAATCTTTCGGCATCATAGAGTGGGAAAGGGAGTGCATTTTTATTCAGGCAGCTCTGGGTGGAAATCCTTGCTCTGAATCTTATAGGGTGAGGGCACTTAGGTTGCAGTTTCTATAAAATGGGAGTGTTAATACTTTCTTAGTAAGATGTTTGTGAAAATTAAATGACAATTTGACTCTAACTCATTTAGAATAGTATCTGACAAAATAGCTGAATATAAGAATTCTCTATATGATTACTTTTCTTCCAACCACACACCTGTTTATGTTAGGAAATTACATATACTGACATATCAAAGTGGGCTTATATATTATATATAATAGCAATGGCAACTGTAGTTTTATCTACAGCTGAATGGGTAGCCTTCTTGGGTATAGATATTCCATAACTAGTAGTCCTTTAGAAATTTTAAAAATACGTAAAAGAACATATGAACCATTATTTTATCTTCATCAGATAGACTCCTCTATAGTAAAATACAAATTTTAGTGATAATAATAAAAACATTTTACATGCCTCGTAATGCAAGAAAGAATGAGAAAAGTGGGAGAGAGAGGGCTTGAAAAAGAAAGAGAAACAGGAATAAGAATTAGAAATCAGTCATTACTCTGAAAATTAGCTGCTAAGTTACTTTAGTACCAGTGAATAAAGAAATTACTTTTTTTCCCTATTTAATAAAGATTTGGTTATAGTGTAGGGTAAAAGGCTAAAATCAGTATTGATTTAATATCCTTCAATAATATTTTAAATAGTAAATTTTGTGACTAAAATTTATCACATTATCATTTTAATTCATGTGTATTATAATATACAAAAGGTGAATATAAATGTAAAATTAATCTAAAAGCTGGATTTAAACCCATATTTGGAATATAAACCCAATTATTGCCATAAATAAGGTTGTACATGCTAAGAGTTGATATCATTATTAGTTTATGAAGCACATTACAGAAGCTTTTAATTTTGCTTATTTGATTTATTTTACTTAACAATTGGGAAAATACTTATTTTTAAAAGTGCTCATTCAAATAATGTAAGTCAGCTACAATGCACACATATTGCTCTGGTGACTCACAAATGAATCTCTTCCTGTGCCCTGAAATCTAAAATGCTCATGCTCTATTGATCTGGGAGAGGAAACTCATTCCAAAAGCACATGCCCATTACAGGAAAAGTCCTGGACTTAGATGCTAGCTTTCCACCCAGGGACCTTTCACAGTGTACTTTTCCTGCTAACAGTGCACCCCAGGGCAACGGATCTTAAACTTGAGTACACACTGGAATCTCCAAAGCCATTTGTATAAATGTACTTGGGAGTTCAACCCTCAGAGATTTGGACTTAGGAAATTGGGATGGAGGCCAGGAATTCACATTTATAGATGTCTTATATAATACTCTGGTTCTGAAACAGGTGACCATGCTTTGAGAAGTTAAGAAGAAGAAAAGAAAAATCCCTATTAAAACCAGCATATTATTTTTCAGTCATATACTATAAATCACAGACAAAGCTGTGTGAAGAGGGATATCAGAATTACTTCTTTGGTAAAAAAAAACAAACCAAAAAAAAAAAATGTCTTCCCTATACAGTATCAAAGCACATCATAGTCCCAGCCATTCTATCAGTGGATAGAGCGTCGGCCCACAGACTGAAGGGTCCTGGGTTTGATTCCAGTCAAGGGCATGTACATCGGTTGCAGGCTTGATCCCGGGCCCTGGTCAGGGCAAGTGCAGGAGGCAACAAATCAGTATCTCTCACACATTGATCTTTCTCTCTGTGTCTCTTCACATCCCGTCCACTCTCTCTAAAAAATCAATGGAAAAATATCCTCGGATGAGGATTAACAAAAAAATAAATAAAAATCGAAAAATATATAAAAAGCACATCCCAAATCCAAATACCAGAACTTAGTGGAGAGGATTAAGGAAAGGAAAAGACATTGAGCATACACGTGCATTATGCATGCAAACATACACATGTACACACTGACCATTGAAAATCAGAGATCCTTCACAAGGAAGATATAGACTGCAACTGATTTATGCCATTTCCAATATGTCCCGGGCATTGTATGTGGTTGAAGGTGGTGGTGGTGGTGGGTGGGTAGTGTATATGAGACTCTAAAACTGTTTCTGCTCTAAGTTTACCACTTTTTAAAGAATAGCATAAAACAATCATGTTTAAATGTTAATTTCTGTGAGTGAGGCCATAATATGAAATGAGATCCAAGACAGGAGAGCCATGCAGACTAACAGAGCAGGAAGGACTTCATGGATGGGATGTGGGGGAGGGTACTTATAAGAAGAGATAAATGTGCAGGGAGCTGTGAGAATGGAGGGGATGGATGCAGAATAAATCACTCACAGTCTATACAAACAACTCTGTTCTGCCCATTTTCTAGCTTCCACTATTTACCTTTATCAACTCAATCCTAGTTTTGTTTCATTCCATTCAGAGCATATGCTGACCTAGTACCATACTAGGTCCTGGGGGCACAAAGGAAATAGAATGTAGAGACCTGGTCCCTGTCCTTGAGAAGCTGCAGTGAGGGGACCAGAGCCAGGCTCATGGTCTGAAGTGAAGAGCATCATTCAGGAGCTCTGATTCCAGCCAAATATTATAGTAGCACTCCCTATAAGAGTACATAGACAGTAGATAGAAATAGGCAGGATTTCCCAAAGTAGAATAAACACAAAGGACAATGGCCATCATGCCTATGGCTCAATCATGTTTACAAAGTATTGTCAGGTGTATTATCTCATCTAAGCTCCATGAAGGCAGGCAGCTTTGTTTTTTCACCAATGCACTTCAAGTGCTTAAAATTCTGCCAGGCACATAGTAGGCTCTCAACAAATATAGGTTGAATTGAATTTAGTCCTCACAACCCCACATTTTACAGAAGAAGAAGGAATGTTGGACTTACTCTTTTTGAACCACCTAGGGTCCCCCAGGATAAATACAAGTTTGGCAGAGTGGCTCAATCATCTCTGCAGTGCCGGAGCTCTTTGTTCTGCACAATCCCTATGATGTGTTGGTCGGTTCATAGGAACTGCGTTCCCACTCACCCAGGATCTGCACTGTTCCTGTTTGGAACTTTAGAGCCACCTGGTGATGAGGTGAGTGATGCCTTCAACCTAGCACCCTGGATGTTGGTCTATATAAGAAAGGAAGTTAATTATACAACTAGAAACACTGCAATTGTCCCTTTGCCCTGCAGATGGAAGCAACTCTGCATTTTCAATGGTGGAAAATAGCAAATTGCTTTGTATTAACTATTCTTTCTGCTAGTGTCTCAAACTGTTCCTTCTCTATTCATTATAATAACGAGTCCTTAGAAGAAATATGCTGATCTATACCACATCTTATAACAATCTTCCCACTCCTTTTTAATTGCCCAGTGCCTGTTGGACAAACCTAAGCAATATCACCAGTTGCTGTTGTCAAAGGTCATCCTGACTGTGACTAATAGCAAATAAATCAGTGCTTAAAAGCTTGGATCTCAGAGTCGGGCAGACTCGAGTTCAGATAAGATATTAATATATGTGAGCTCTTGGCATGCTACTTGTCTTGTATGAGAATTACAGATTCTGTGTAAGATGGCTGTGAAAAATAACATCTGTAAAGGTCTTAATACATTACCTGGAAAATAACAATCAATAAATTATAGTGATTATCTTTTTTATGTTACAACCTTGCTCTTCTACAGATGCACCATATATATACATATATATGACATATATATGTATATACACACATATGTATATAGTATATGTGTGTATAAGTGTATTTGTATACATATATATTCATATACATGGACATATGTGTGCATATGTATGTGTATATGATATATATTATATATAAATATATATGTGTAGGGAGAAACCAAGATGGCGGCATAGGTAAACACTGGAAATTGCTGCCTCGCACAACTACAGTGGGGCCTTGACTTAAGAGTTTAATTCGTTCTGAGACTGAGCTTGTTAAGGAGCTCCTTAACTCAAATTACTCTGTCAACTAAATACAAAAAATCAGCTGAGAGACAGCTGGTATCTGAAATTCTACAACTAGAAGGAAAGAGAAAAGCACACTGAGACTCAGAGGAGGTGCAGAAGTAAAGAGCAAGCTCCCAGCTGCTCTGAACTCTAGCTCCAGGCGAGTCTCTGGGTACACAGACTCATACGGGGAGAAACTGGACTGTCTGGCATCGATTGGAACTCGAGGGCGGCTTTCTCTCAGAGGTGATTGTGGCGATTACTGGGACACTGAAATGCAGGGCCTCTTAGGGTAGGACTGAGGAGCAGCCATAGCTGTTTGCTCCACCCTGCTGATTCCCTGAGACACTGCCCTACCCAAGCTGTGCACAGCAGAGGCTTTTGCATATGAAAGGCCTGGCCCTTTGCAACCTGAAAATTACCTAACTGCAGCTGGGTCAGAGAGACCCAGAACTTCCAAAAGAAGGCCCAAAGCCCCACAGCAGCTTGCATTGCTTCACAGCTGGGCCTCATCTGGGCAACTCCAAACCCCAAACAAAGAAGAGGATTCTGAAGATCTCTCCATAGCTTCTGCAGGGTAGCCTCAGGCAGAGGCTAAATTAGCACCTCCTTAGAAATCCAAGAGCCAGTGTACCCAGTGGTCAGAGTGGGACCATACAGATTATAACTCCTCAGATCCATAAGGGACACACTCAGGGGGGCAGACTCAGTGCGCACCAAAGCCCCACTGAAGC